TATGTTACAAATCACTGGGCCAAAAAAATTATCCAAAGTGTGAAAATTATGAAATTGTCAGAACCATGAAAAACTAATCTCACTTGTATATGACAATTCACTGTGTTCAATCACCCACCATAGACTCCGGTCAGTCAAAATGACTATTTTGAACTGTAGGCATTAATCAGCGATTCTGCCGGTGATGGAGAGATAGAATCTAGGTCAGGGGAAACCCCATGACCCCAAGATTCTCTTCTCTTACGTCACAAACCACGTGACCGAGGCCATATGGTAGCGCCATTAACGACTGGACAATCACTCTGATTTTTCTCCGCCTCGAATGGAGATGAAATCTAGCAAGCTCTGCCTGGATCACTTGCTTTTTTCCTGTCCGGGTTTCTAGCTTGGGTTGTTGCCACTGGGCGGCATTCAACATTCTAGCTGGTAGGATAATTTTTTTTTGTCTTCTTTACCCTCGTGTCGTTTTCCCCTGTGTGTAATATTTTTTCACAACAAAGAAATTAAAACCCAGTGCCACTACGTAAGCTCTTGTTGGTTTCTTTGCCTTGAAGGCGTGCGTTTTTCACTGGAGTTCTGAGGCCTGAGATATTTTTATTTTCAGAGCCATCAAATCGCCAAGACTGACCACGTCGCTCGTATTTTCACAGCAAGTTCACGCGTCCAGTAAAAATCCAGTAAAGTGAGTAGCGTGTTTGGCATGAGTGGAAAGTCCTCACACTCGGCTACCGGTGCTTCGAGTAGGATGCCCGACAGTGGAGGTACCGATATTTTTTCGGTCTCCCCCCGCTGATCGGAGGGCATCCTCACAATCTGTGTTTTCAGGCAGTGTTTTACCTGATTTTACCGGCTACAGCGAGGCTGTGCCCCTGGAGGTTTTTTCCTCCTATGGGGCCCGTCACGGGTCTCTTTATGGATCCCTTCCTCACACAGCGCCAGGTTTGCCTCCGAGTTGATGGCTTTGGTCGAAGGACTGTCGGGGCAAATTGCGTCCCTGGCAGGCCGGGTAGATCAGACGCAGTCGGAGCGAGCTGTCTCCACTGCGACCCCTGGTGGCAAGCAGAAAGAAACACGAAAACATGTTTGCATTCAAACACGTCTCTTCCGGGGAACCCCCGTTCCCAGCCCCAGCTCTCCTACTAATTTGGGTCAGGCTCAGGCTAATTGCACCGGGCCTCCTCTGGAGCCTCGAGCACTGAATGCCAACGGGGTGCTGGCAGCCAAGCCTCCGATCTCGGGGCAGGGCTTTCAGGGCAGGGCACACGTTGACCCCCCTACTTTCAGCCAGCCAGGGTTCGGCACGCGGTAATGGTACAACGGTAACGAATTACCCTTGTGTCCGGTCTCCGCCGTGGGTTTTGACTCACTTCTTACCGACCCACGGGCGACTCCAGAGGGAACCGACCCTGTCATGAGACGCACAGTCGAACATGCTCTCTCTCACATATTTAAAGTGAAAAGGAGACACAGTTCGCTCGCGACGGATACAGCCGGTACCTCAGACAGTCCCCCAGAGTCTTCCATTCGTAACGACTCGGTGAGCTACGCTTTTGGGGTGATGCAGAGTTCCCTGATCCTAAGGCGACCACTTTCAGTTGCTTCAACGCTTATGGGATCACGGGCGTCGGGATCCAAAGCAACTTCGTCAGCACGTCTCTCCCTGTCCGTCCGAGTGCGGAGTGGCGCGCAAACTATGTTGATGGGCGGACATTGGCCGCGGAGGAGGTAATGCTACCCGGTCGGTATGGTTTCGGGATCAATCCCCAAAGTGTTGGATGAGACCAAAATACCCCCAATCGGATCCCAAGGCTCCTTCCCCAGACCCCGGTACCACGAATTTCTGTTGGGCAGACCCGGGTAAAGGGGGACAGCCACGTTCCATGGGCGTTCTCGCCAGCTCAATCTGAGGCGATCCATCACGCCCTGAGGGCAGATTTGCTTGAGCGCATTATTGTGCGCGCCCAGGACTCTGAGACCTCGGAGGCAGAACGTACCAGCCTCCTAGACCAGGCAACACATTTATTGGTGGGCCACCGCACATCTACGTGCGACATCCCCTAGTGTCACCTGGCTCTCTTGGCCGGGGCCACTACTGTGCAAGAAGACACGGCCTTAGACGCATGTGTTTTTGCTGGCAAGCTGAGTCAAGGGGTACGTCCCCACCTCAGTGACGCAGACTGGACATCTTCCACTCTCTTTATTCGGGGAATGGTGGGTACAGTCTCGAAGCTTCGGAGTGCAATGAACTAGAGGGTTCAGATCGAATCCGCTAGCCAGTTGGCCCTGCCAAGGGTAAGCGGAGGGCACCCCAAGCACGGAAAACACAATGCCCTAGGGCGTCGTCCGCTAGCCAGAGTCAGCCAGGAGGCAAGCGCTCATACCCTTCCACAGGAGGGAAGAGTAGTGGCGCGCCCCCAGGGAGGAAAGAGCCAGGCGGTGGTTCCTAATCCTCCTCGGTCGTCTACCCTGGCAGTGGGGGAAGCGTGTTTTGACGCTTACTGTACCTCTGCAACCAGGGGAACAGGCATGTGTTCGGCGAGTAGCCAGGTCACAACTTAGTGACTACTTCAGGCCTTGGGGCAGGGTTTTCCACGCGGCGCCCTGTTATCTGTAATTGGTGCCCTGTTTAATATGTCAGCGCCCTGTTACATATCCTGTGCGCCCTGCATGGTTCCAGACAAAGAAGTGTTTACAAAACAGGCCATCACTCATTGTCTTCCGAAGATGATTCATTGTGCTCAGGGTAACTGGTTCATTGTTTTTAAGGTGTGAAAACTGTGAAAATTTTTCAACACGATTAAAAATGAACATGTGGCCTAGAAAGGTGTATTACTGTACCCATATTTTTACTGCCAGGGTGACGTCAAATATATAAATCGTTATCGGTTATTGTTAAAACATAAGATCTGTGGTTAAAACCAAGTTCACGCCGTGACTTGTACATGTAGCAGCAACATCGTCACCGCCGAGCGGAACAAAGGCAGCCATGCTCTTGCATGATCGGTAAACAACCAACGCAGCCGACGTACATGTACCATCACAGACATTGCTGATCACCAAGAAGTCCACACGAATTGCTTGCTTAAACATGTAAATGTTTATATTTTGACGAATGTCTCTATTTAAAGTTGAATTTTCTTTAAATCACTATTTAAAACCCCGGTAAAACGGCCATGCTTTCAACTCGCATCATTAGTGGAGGAAATAAATTTACTTGTGTTCTTCCTGGAACAAATATTCTGATTGGTTGTTTTTCGCGTCAATGCGTGGCTTTGGCCAATCAAAAGTATCGTTACATAGTATCAGGGTGCACACAGTAAGCTGTTTTCAACAAGGCAGACATCAACAAACTTTCGATTTGAATGAAAATTATTCTTTTAAGTATGTATTTTGTAATACTATTATTTTTGATAGTAACTGTTAACTGCAGATCGAAAATCTTCTATTGTGTACATTTTATTTCGTTTGATCATCTTGCTTTTTGGTGCCATTCATGCAAGTTTTTTAATGAACCAATTACGAACATTTGTGCGACATCATACATTTTATTTTGCTTCGTCCAAATAAATATAAATCATAAATAAAAATTTTTGCTAAAAATTGAATTAAAGCATGTATGTATCTGGGAAAATAAATTAACAAACGTCTTTTTCTGGACGCGATCATTACTGGTAAACAACTGATGTCGCCGCGTGATGAATCGTGGAGCTAAAATCAGCTGATTGTAGGTGCTGGCGTTTACTTAATAATAGCTCCTCAAAATTCTCATTCATTTTGAAATAATAAATATATATTATGCATATGTAATAATATGTAGATTAATATATTTTTTGGTTTCCATTTTCAACATCCATGCCAATGATGCACGTTACAAATGTGCCACGCCCACTTCACATTGGCGTGTCCTGTTTAATTTTCAAACCGTGGAGAACCTTGCCTTGGGGAACTCACCTCATGGGAGAAGAGAGCACCCCCCCCCCTCCGCAACTGCCGAACCCATGGCCACATATCCCTGTCATACACAGATTGCGCCGGTGTAGACCGGTTTGGAGACAGTTGGTGACCGATCCCTGGACCTTTCCAGGTGGTGACATCCTGTTACGGGATACCGCTGAAATCTCCATCTCCCCCGTCAGTGTCTCCCCTATTGCGCACTGCCAGGGGACTCTCACAAGGCGGAAGCAATCAGGCAGGAAGTAGCAGTTTGCTGGGAAAAGATGCCATACACAGGGTAGATCAGCCGGAACTAAGTCCAGGCTTCTACCCAAATTTGTTCGTTGTACCAAATCTACAAGTGGTGGGCGCCCAGTTCTGGACCTAGGCAGACTGAATCAGACGTGCTCCTTCAACGATTACACATGGAGACGCCATTCATTGTTCTTCTCTCAATCCACCGTTTTGACTGGCTAGCCCCACTAGAATTAAGCGGGGCCTACCTGCACATACCGATGCACCCAGCGAGTTGCCATCTCCTTCGAATCGCCCAGCTGGACCAAGTATTTGATTTTCTGGTTCCCCTCATTCGTCTTATGCACAGCGCCCTACGTGTTCACCAGGATGATGAAACAGGTACTGCTGCTGCTACACCAAATGTCGGTACACCTCAATCCGTACCTAGACTGCTGGTTACTACACAACCCGGACAAGGGGTTAATAGTCAAACACGTCAGGCTAACACAAGATTCACTTCACCAGTTGGGCTCGTTAGTAAATCGACAAGTCCCATTGCAGTTGGTGTCCCTGGGCAAGAAGTTTGACACAAAGGTAAGCTTGGTATAGCTATTTCAAGCGTGTTGCTTAGCGCTAAGCAGCCTAGCCGAACGCCTAGTCAGCGTTCCCTCAGTGTCCCTCTGAAAACTAATGCGGATCATCGGAATGATGACCTCGGTTCGAAAGGTCGTTCCCCAAGCCGCATGACGCAGCTGCCCAGTATAACGCTTGTAATAACGCTGAGCTCTTGTATGGGAACTAGATAGGTGGGTTTTGATCTCGGACCAAGTGAAGGAAGCCCTGCCCTGGTGGTCGTCACTGGCCAACCTCGGACAGGGGCCCCCCTTGGACCCACTTGCCTCCTCCCAAGGTTGGGGAGTGCATCTATTGGACGAGCAAGCCCAAGGATATGGCCCCTGCATTAGTTTCGGGACTACCATATCAACCGACTCAAACTGAAAGCAGCTCTACCACGCTTTCTACCCATATTTCAAGAAGGAAGGGGACGCGTTCCCCATCGTTGTCAGTACTAGCGGAGCAAATCCTCCTTTGGTGCCTGGAATACAATGTGGAGCTAACCGCAATCCCCCTTCCAGGGGTGAGGAACAGTCTGGCAGATGCCCTTTCAGGGCGGCTCAGTCTCCAGAACACGGAGTGGCTGATACCCCAGTGGGTAGCCTCCAGGCGGTTTGCCGCTGTAGGACGGTCCAATGTTAGACCAGTTTGCTGCACCCCAGAACGCTAAGCTCCCAATGTAAGACCGCCATGTCTTTGTGTTACGGCCCAGGCAGGCAGGATAGGTCGGCCTCCCCAACTTCCATGACCAGGTGGTTTACTGCAACAGTAGTAGAGGTCTATAATACTTTAACTTCCTCGACACAGAGCTTGCAGAAACACCAAGTACAAGCGCATGAGGTCTGTGCGATTGCCAACTCACTCGTGTTAGCGTCAGGTGCCCCCTCTCGAGCACACACAGAGGGCAGGCTTCTGGAGAATGCAGAACGTCTTTATCAACTACCACCTAAGGGACACCAAATCCATTGAGGAAGGTCTCTTTAGGTTGGGTCCCATCGTAGCGGGTCAGTCTTGGATTGCCGACCCAGCCGAATGACCACAAGGGTCCCTGCACATAGGCAATAAGTCAGTCTCTGCATTTTTTGCGGACAGATTTCTCTACCATCAGCACTCCCTGGAAGCTCCCAGGGCCCGCTATTCGGCCTATGCCCTCATGCAGAACTGTTTCGGTTATTTTGAAAGCTTACTACCTCCAGAATTGGGTTGGCATCTAGCTTTCTCAGGCACACCGAACCCTGTCACCATAGCAGCATTTTGGCTTCTTGCTCCGGGGACAGCACAGGCAAGGTAAGACACCACCCTTTTTGGGTCTTAACTAAGGTGTTTAGTTTATTGTCGTTTGTTTCATCTATCGGCGTCTGACTCTGCCTACAGTTCAAAATAGTCATTTTGACTGACTGGAGTCTATGGTGGGTAATTGAACGTAGTGAATTTAGGCAGAGGGTTCTCCGAACCTGCCTATTCACATAGTTCATACCCACCATAGATTCTGGGTTCCCCCCAACCACCCCACTCGTAGCGTTGGTCTAAGTCCTTGAGGCGGAGAGAAAGTAACCAGAGTGATTGTCCAGCCGTTAATGGAGCTATCATATGGCCTCGGTCACGTGGTTCGGGACATAAGGGAAGAGAATCTTGGGGTCGTAGGGCTTCCCCTGACCTAGATCTCTCCATCACCTGCAGAATCGCTGATTAATGCCTACAATTCAAAATAGTTTTGATTAGATTTTTGACTCCCATTTGAATGAAATTTGATACATAAATGCTCTAGAACTATAGACAGGTCCGATTAATTTTGGGTTGAAAATTGTTCATATTAATTCTCTAATAATAATTCATAGTTTTTTTGTTTTAATCACATTTCAATGAAACTTGGTACATAGATATTACATTACGCAGGCCTTATTAGTTTTACACTCAAATCTGCTCATATCAGTTACCTGATTTACATAATTAGTTTTCAGCTATTCCATCAATATCTCAATTACAAGTAATTTTTAATGTGTCTTCAATACTCTCAGCACGAAGGAGTTCTTTCTAAGCTTTCTTTGATTAGAAATTTATACAAAGTCATGTATATCACCCTAGATGGAACACACACTAAGTCCATTCTTTGACACTCTTGACAGCTGCCAGGAGGAATCGTAGCATTGCTGGTGATCCATCGTTGATGACATACAGAGGTCATAGCGTCTTACAGACTCTAATCAGATGCAGATTCTCACCTGAATTCACTACAAGTCAGGTGCGTTCTGTGTACACTTGTATACCAGGGTGAAACAGGTGTTAAATATTGGACATTTATATGAAGTCACTGTGTTCAAAATCTTTCTACATAATTGGAGAATTCTCTTCTAGATGGTATCATGTGGAAAACCCAATATATTTCTTTGACACTCATAGTTTTCCTTTTCTAGAAACTCTGTGAGAAATATGTGAATTTTGTTAATTTAATCAATACAGATTCATTATTTTTTATAGCAATATATTTATACAGGATGTTCTTCTGGAGCAGTCGTTAGTAAGTTTATTTTCCAACTTCATAAAGCACTGATTAATGTTTCTTCACCTTGATTATAGAAAAAAGTGTTTTAACCACTATAAAAAAGGAGATTACTAACTTTAGCGTACTGTAATCAGTTTCTAGAGTATAATGAACATTTTTTTTCTTTCAGTTTATGATTTATTAACTGGTGACATAGTAACAAAGCTCAAAAATAGACAAAGAGCTTGTGTACGAGATGTCTCTTGGCATCCGTATGATTTCAGTATTGTCAGTACATCGGTGAGTTATCTTTTTTGATCGGTAATATTGAAGAGAATGTGAGCTCATTTGTATAGGTGATAATAACAGATGGATGTAGAATTGAATCTATCGTGAAAATTGTAAAGGTTCGGAGATTCTTTATGTATTGGACCCAATTGGCTGAATGCCAATTATCAGGCAGTTATTACAAGAGTACCTCAATGTATGCACAAAGATTGTACAGCGGGAGTATCGACCGACGCACAGCGGAGGACGATATGACTGCATACTGTCTGAGGTATCCTTGTAATAACCTTTATATTATTATACATCTTTTCCTTCCAAGGATACATCATGGGAATGCCAAAATCCAAAAAGCATAGAACAGAAACTTCTTTGTGTAAAGTGTGGTCAAACCCTGGGGCACTTTTGCGCGTAATCGTTCTATATTTAGAATTCGCGTTTCCTAATATGGTAGGATGAAAACACCCAGTGCAATACTGCAAAACTATGGCACGCTGTAACTTATGGCGTTACGGTGACAAATACATAGTATTTATAAATATGGCTGACAAAATACAAGTTCTGCAAATGTGTACGTGTCTAGATTGAGATAATGTTTTTTTTGACACATAATTGATTTGCACATTTCTTCACATGCAGAGATGATTAAAGTGAACACAACTAATGAAGACCTAAGTGTATTCTGTCCATGGCATTTCCAGCATGAAAAATGATGTACATCAAGGACCCATCATGTTCAATTGACATACCAAGTTTGAATGAAATGTGTTTATATGCCTGACAGATCTGGTTGCAGAATGGCAAAAATTTTCAGCACTAAAATGGCTGCTATTCGGCCATTCTGAATTGGATCATGAAACAAATGCATGCATGTGTGTATGTAGTTTGAATGAAATTGGCCCTTTCATGTTTGAGATCCAGGTGTGGACGGGCGCTCAGACAAACATGAAATTACAAGTCCCTGACCACTCTCCTTCTTCTCAATGTGCTTATTCCATCTAATCCTTTATCTTACACAGTGGGATGGTTCCATCGGCAAATGGGAATATTACAACCCACATCCACCTGAAGGTAACCGTAGCACTTTTCAATTTCCTCACTTCGACGGCGCTGATGACGACCTGCGAGCAGGGAGACGACCCATGATAGTTATCGATATTTGATTTTTGGCGAGCTCTGTAATGTTTTACATGAAGAGTCTGCCATGTGCATGAACGTATATGGACAGTCGTATCAAACAGTCGTATCAAGTCGTATCACGGTACGATACAAGTTATACTATGACAGTAATCAAAGTATAGAGGCCATGAATCCTCGTAGTCTCGGATAACATCATATGGATCTGTAGAAGTGAAACCTACTACTATAACCCCTCATTCAATGTCACCGACGTCTGCAGATAGATCCATGCTTGATGATTTGAAAACCAATTATGATTATTTACTTCGCCATGAATTGAACCATTTACATCATAAAATAATTTGTTTTTTTCAAAGTATATTTTTGACTTAATTTTAATTTTAATGTGTTGATTTTACTTTGTACAGAAATACAATCTGATTCAATGTACAAAACTGCTTCTGAGAAAATTCAGCAACCTTGAGTGTGTGTGTGTGTGTGGGGGGTCTACGATATTTTGTTGAAAACCCTTTCATACCATTATAACGTCATTCAATTTTGAATAATAACAATTAGTTGCCAATGAAATAATTGTAGGAAAAACTCTATTCAGGCTAAATTCTCACACAAACTACAGAGTAATGCAAATGTGGTCTCTTTCATGTGCGTATATGGTGTTCACATTGCATGAGCAACAAAATATGGTTGCATCGGTTCTATTTTAAGTAATTCCAACCACATTGCTCTCACTTAAACAGACTACAGAACATTGCAAGGGGAAAAAACATTGTTATCAATTTATTCAATTTATCACAAAATATAACAGATATTGGTATTTTTGTTTTTTTCTCTATTTTGTTTATTCTTGCATGTATATACACATCAGTTGTCATGACAACAGCTCTGTACTCTGTTTTATGAATACAAGTAGTCTAATTTTAATTATTAAAATAAAGTAAACATCGAAAGAAAGTGAAAAAAAATGCATTTCTGTTGTACCAAAGGATGCTAAAATACTTTATGCAAAATAACTATTGCTTAATTTATACAAAGAAATTATCTGGACATTTATTTGATTTTTTTGAGATCAGTGAAACATTTAGGATGTACTCTGAAGCTCAAGATACAACACGCTAAAACTAAAAGAACACACAACGTAAACACACAATCTGTAATATAATGGTTTCATGATATTATTTTTAAACAGGAGAATGCAACTTTGATTTTTGTGAAAGATTGTAGATTTTTTTTTCATCATTTTTGATTAAAATCGTAGTGCAAGAAGTAACTTGATTCAAAAAAAAGAAAATTATCGCAGCAAGTAAATAAAACATCCTTTCAATTGGGAGTCATGAAAAAGTGATTGTCGCATCTCAAAAACACTGTTCCTTTCATATCTGATAACTAAAATGATGATGATAGATATTTTTTTTTTAATTATTAAGATGATTTAAACTACAAAGTAGATTTTAAGTATAATAACGTTTTCTTTTGAATTGTGAATAATTTTGAAATAAAAAGTTGTGATTGAAATTTTTTCAAGTTCATGTATTGCTTGTTGCAAATATATACACATTTATGCTGTGAAATACTGAAGATTCAAAGATGCGAAATTTGAAAGAAAAAAATGCTTATTTTTAACAACTTTTTTTTCATAAAATGAAAAAAAAAGTCACCCAAAACTAGCAAGTTTAATGACAGATAATTATGCAATATTGTTCAAATTATAATAAAGCATGACATTTTGGTGCTCATCAAAAATAAGAGATTGTCCCATAACAAGCAGATCTTTTTTTTCTTTCTAAACAGATATATGGTTTTAAAAACACTTGAAAAACTAGCAAATAATTCTCTTAAACAACTGCAGTATGCATGAAATTACCACCAGTGTGCCCTCTAACAGGACTCAATTTGTAGAGATCCTGATTCAGAATGGAACCCCCCCCAATCAACTCAGCTTGTTGCCTGCTGGGGGGGGGGGGCAGTCTTAAAGTATAACAATAAAACACTACTAGACTGTATACTAACTGATTTAAGAAAAAAAAGTGGTGGCCCCTGAATTTCTTCGTTTGTACACTATGTTCATAAAATTCATTTTAGCAAAGTCTTTGTGTGTCTTGGAGGGCACACTGATTACCACATATGGTAATTGTTACATTATAGATTCATATTCTTTTAAAAAAAAACAAAAAAAAAACATTTTTTTGGTAAAAATGTGAATATATACAAGAATGATTAATCAGACATGGTCCAGCTGATACAAAGCTCATTCACAGTGCACTTCTGAATAGGAACTCAAAAATGTGTACAATTTTACTACGTTCATTTTCTGATATAGTGGCAATTGATTAACGCCTTCTAGTGGTAAATAGTACAAATTAAGGGACGACGTCAAAAGATCGATGTCGGATAAAAAACTTAATTCCTTTAGTTTTTTTCCAAACCCCCCCTACCCCCCACTGAAACTTAATTGATAAATATTGGTCATGGCGTCAGACTATATTCACCATTAAATACAAATTGATAATCGGACAGTAGTATTGCATAGCAGTTGGTTGTCGGGTGGGTGTAAAATGAGTTTACAAATGCACCTCATTTGACCACCAGATTTACACTCGAACCAAACCATTTTTCTGTTTATTTTCCATTTTCGGTCATTTCTGTCCATGATTGGATAGAACTACAAATACTCCAAGATTTTTTTGACTTCATTAAAAAATAAAATCGTTTTTGTAGGATGGAAATTTTTTGAGGTCAAAACCCCCCACCCCCAAACTAAAGCAAATAAGTTTTTTATCCGACATCGATCTTTTGACGTTGTCCCTAAAAGTTATAAAGTTGAATGTTCTCATCAGAATACAACCATGACCAACCTTGAAATTCTTCAGATTTGGGTTGAAAAAAGTAACAATTTATAACTTAAAATATTAACAAGCAAGCCCTACAAATACAACACATGCAAGAAATATGGCAAATATGTTAATCACGATATTATATATTCATATAGATTCAAAAAAATAATGCTTTTATCTTAATTTTAACAATTGGTTGTTGATGGCCACTGCACTAGAAAGCATTCCTCAAAGAAAAAAAGGCCAAATATACTAAAACATAAAAAATCCCCTCTGAGATGTTTCAGGGACGGTTTTAAAAAATAATAAAATGGTATCTTCCCTCAGTTCAAGATGTGTTCATAACTGGATTCGTTCAGTTTCAACTTGCAGTCACTCTTGTTTGAGTGGCACTAGTGGTTATAGTAGGTGGTGTACTTGCAGCAGTTACGGCGACAGTGGTCATGTCTTCATATCGGATACCACTAGATGCTGCGATGACTTCTCTTTTGAATGCATGCGTGGAGCTGGCTACTACAGCGGCTCTTGTATAATCCATATCAGATAAATCTTCACGTTTTGGCCCATGTGCAGCAACTTGTTGCAGTTTCAGAAATTCACTTGCTGTAGGATGGGATGCTGCACTGATAGATGCTTCACTCGGTTGCAGTTGATGCATTATAGGGTGGCCGTTGGTTAGATGGTCTGTTGTAGGATTGGCTGCTGCTGCTGCCATCATGCTATGTTGTGTGTCATTGCTTGTACCTGAAAATGAAAGATACATAGCTTGTCATGCAGGCTTGAATGAATTAAGGTATAGCAGCAAGTTCCCTGACACTTTCCAGGCTAGAGATTGTTCGAAATTTTGAAACTGTTAATAGTACACATACTCAAAAAAGTATTTTAATATATAGAGAAAAAAAGGCACACATATGTGATTAAAATTCTTAAGAGTTTGTTTACATTGCTCTTCGCTTGAAGTGTCTGGATTGCTTCTGATTGCTACCTAAAATGATGGTGTGGCTTAAATTAACACAACACTTGCTGAAAGCCTCCGGATAGCCAAATTGACTGGTATATAATGGCTGTTATATGTAATTGTAAACCAGAACAGTATGAAGCCTATCCATGCTAAATTGCAACTGATATTAAGGTGTAGTGACCATATTTTGTAATAAATAGGTGTTTATTCAAATGTCTGCCACAAAAATCAAACTATTTTATTTTGAATTAAAAAAAAAAATTGTTTATACAATGTTAGAAATGCATAACTTTGAAGAACTGAGTATTACTAAAATTAATCTTATCAAATATGTGTAGCACATACATGTATATTAAAGCGTGGAAATGCCTCAAAAGAATTTTGTGTTTGTTTCACAATATTTAATTACAACCTTTTTATGTCCCGTGTTTTTTTTTTGTATATGATCTCGCAGTGAATGATAAATTGTCTATCGATCGTTATTTGAAATTAAAGCTGCAGAGCTGTTTTGTCAGGTCCAAGTGAATGTTAAAGTTGTTATTGCTTGTATATATTCTATATAAATGATAATATATGCCATAACAAATTCAGATCCACAGAAAGTGGTCAAATAACCATTTTCTGTTTAATTTCCACCTAATCATGTGACATGTCTTTTCTCAAACTTGAGAGGTATTATTCAGATATAGTTTCAATTCTAACACCCCAGCCATTCCGAGGAAGCAGAGTTTTAAGCATTTTATCTGTTTTCTACTTTAAAAAAAAATGGCGGCCATAGTTACATGACCTCTGAAATGTTATCTGTTGTACATTAAAATCTAGTATATGCCTTAACAAATTGAGATCGTCTAGACCCTCTGAAAGTGGTCAAAAAGCCATTTCCTGGTTAATTTCAATGAAAGATGGCTGCCAAACCAGGCGACAAATCAAAATTATGAAGGATAGGTGCTTCAGTTTCAGTTTAGAAGTTTAAGGAAAAGGGTGTTCAAGGGTGACAAAGAAATGGCAGAAGAACAAATTTGATCAAAAACTGGGAAAATCATGGGGCCCAAGATGTTGAAATGTGTCGACCATGATCGCGATAGTTTATACCAGATGCATATACCTTGATAAGAAGTGTCCCAAATGCTGAAATATACAGAAAGTTTTATTAATACCTCCAAGCAGCATTTCTTGGAGTAGATTATCTATCTTAGTGACACCAAACAACTTGGCAAACTGCACTTGCTCTATCATATGCCATGTGATACTCTGTAGTGATGGTAACACCAATAAGATTTCTCCAAAGCGGCCTCTCGAGTCGTATTGTCGGTCGTTAATGTAGTCTTCCAGGTTTATCTGTGCTTGATATCGTAACGATTTAATCTTCATTGAGTCGCTCAAACCTTTGGCATCTGAAATATCGTTATGGAAACCACTTAGAATGGGTCAACATTTACTGGGACTTTAATTTTTTTTTTTTTTTTGTATGGATCACCAACTCATACTTTTGACATAATATTTGTTCAGAAAATAATGAGATGGTACTGTTGCAACAAAAACACATTTATTTAAGTTGATCAAAATCAACAAAGTTTGACTTGAGAAAATTACAAATCGATTTATAAACCGAAGGCTAATTATTATTTTGGTCTCTAAACAAAGACAAAGCTACAAATCAAAGAAAGCTTAGAAAGAACTCCTGTGTGCTGAGAGTATTGAAGACACATTAAAAATTAATTCAAAATTACTTGTATACTTGAGATATTGATGGAATAGCTGAAAACTAATTATGTAAATCAGATAGCTGATATGAACAGATTTGAGTGTAAAACTAATAAGGCCTGCGTAATGTAATATCTTTGTACCAAGTTTCATTGAAATGTGATTAGAACAAAAAAAACTTTGAATTATTATTAGAGAATTAATATGAACAAATTTCAACCCAAAATTAATCCGGCCTGTCTGTTCTGTACCAAATTGTATTCAAATGTGATAATCAGTAATTGAGATATCAGTATTAATTATTTTAATTAGGTGATTAATAAGTATAAATATTTACCAAAAACTAATTGGGTCTCTGCATAGTCCTAGGTTCATTGAAATGTGATGATGAATACTCTATAAAAGTTTCATTAAAATCCAATTAGTGGTTTTTTATATATCAGTGGAACATTCATGAAAAAAATTAACTAATTATGCGAATTAGGTAATTATATTCCACAATTATTTACCCTAAAACTAATCAGGTCTCTGCATAGTCCTAGAGGATCTATGTAGCAAGTCTCATTAAAATATGATGATCAGTACTTGAGTTATCAGGCGAAAAGCTGAAAATTAACTAATTATGCTAACAAATAATTACCCCAAAACTAATCAGGTCTCTGCACAGTCCTTAAGTAACTATGTACCAAGTTTCATTGAAATGTGGTGATTACTACTTGAAATATCAAAAGCTGAAAATGTATTAATTATGCAAATTAGGTAATTAATATGTACTGATATTATTCTAAAAACTATCAGGTCTGTGCAGTGTCCTATGACATCTATGTACCAAGTTTTATTGAAATGTGATGATTAGTACTTGAGATATCAGTGGAAAAGCCAAAAATTGATTAATCATTATGCAATTTAGGTAATTAATATTGCACAGATTTTTACCTAAAACTAATTAAATCTGCGCATTAGTTCAGAGCATCTATGCACCAAGTTTCATCAAAATCCAATGAGTGTACGTTCTTGAGATATCAGTGGAACACATACACACACAAAGAGACACATAGACAGACACACTAACTGCAAAGACTCCCTTTTTGTGCTTCGCACATGGGAGTCAAAAGTATTGCTGAAAGGTTGGTCACATAAAACAGGTGTTCTTTATACACAGGTTACTCATACATTATGCTGAGGTACTGCCTAAAAGTGGTCACTATAAACAGGAGGTTTTTATACCAGGATGCTCATATGTTATTCCTTGGAACTGCTTAAAAGTGGTCACTATAGGCAGGTGGTTACTATATAGAGGTAAACTATTATGTATAACTTAGCAATTTAAACAAATTAAATTAAAAATTCCTTAAACTTTCACATTTTTTTTTTCAACCATGTCAAATTATGCACCCACCATGATATAGAAACATGTCAAATCAGAAGCTGTTATGCTGTGATTCATGAAGATGTTCCCCATGTCTTGAAGCACATATATAAGTCAAGCTTTCAGGCTGTCTTGCACATGTAACGCAAGTTTACTATGTGACATGTGACAATTGGGGACTTTGACATTCAGAGAGTTTAAATCCATGATAACACTGAAAACACCAAACATTTAGCTCTAGATAGAATTCACTTTTCCACCGAGTTCTACACACCTCATTCAAATTCTGGCCAC